CAGGGTCAAAAGGTGAGCAGGGAGTCCAGAGCAACAAGGAGAAATCCAGAATCAACATCCAGGAACAATATCCAAAAAGTCAGAGTCAAGGGGCAGGCCAAAATCCGAAAACCAGGTAAGCAGTTCAGGAGAAAAACAAAAGATCAAGGGCTGAAAACACCAAACTGACAAAAACCAATTCAGAAAGCTACAGACAGAACTCGGGAACAGAGAAAAGGTGAACATTGAACAGGGAGGTAAACAGAAGCAGGAGACAAAAACAGGAACCAGGGAAGAATGTACCAAAGTCTCAAACAAGCAACTAGAGTAGTGGCAACAATAGTGAGCACGGCTTGAACCATGAGGAGGGCTTAAGTACGCTGGAGCAGGGGAGGCGTGGTGAGATGGGACACTAGGGGAGTAATGTTTGGCTACAGACATCTGCTTGTTCGGCGCCTCGGCTGTGTAGTCGGAGTAGGCGATAGAAATTTGCGTGCCCTCTGGTGGCCAGATGGTGGAATCGTAACACTAAGTGTACATTACTATAATAGTTCTGTCATTTTTATGTATATCATGACAGTACATAGAAATAAAAATGTCCCATCCGATATCTGACTATACATAAACCCTCTGTTGTGTTGTTGCTTTGTTTTCAATTGCATTTGCAATTGATTTGCATTAAACATCATACAGTATTCAGAAACCCTGTCTATTCTGCACTCAGAAACAGCTACAAATGCACAGAATTCTGTCAGCCTACAAGACTGAATCTAGAGTGCTGTCAATCTGGACACTCAGTGGCCTCTCTGTGTGATGTCCTACACAAGCAAGAATGATAGCAGAGTATTTACACAACAGGTTAAAGCTCTAAAGGATATGGGATTTAACTCACATTATAATAATTGCGGAAAATATACTTGTTTTATTTATAGCTCATTGCTCTTTGCAGTTCATTTAAACACTTATGGTCCAATTATATCTTTGTGAAGTAATTGAATTTGCTATAAAGGCAGTACTGTTGTCTGTTCAATTACTGCTACAGAAAAATGTACTTCTGAGTTATTTATTTTCTTAGCAGGTGCCCCTATTCCGGAGTTCAGAATATATACTGTACAAAATTTACATTTTGTATTAGGAAAATGTACCGTTATTTATTTCAACAAAATGAGTCAGGCTGGAAATATTAAAACTTCACCTTGTATGACCCCCCACTCTGGTTGGCAAAATGATCATCTGCTGATCCCCAAGAAGCAACATCTTCTACAGTCGTCCTCCCATGGGAACTCTTTGCAGTGATCAAGAGCCTGCAGAGGTTACGTCAAAGGTACAAGATTAGGTAGAGATCAGGAATGAGCTGTCTTGACCTGCGGGTCAAAGGTTATAGGTCAGTGGTTCCCAACTTGGTCTGAAATCCAACAGTTTTTCAAGGTCCTCCTAAACCCTGAAGGAGGGAGACTGGGGAGACGTATTAAACTGATCCAAACTAGTAAAAAATCCCTGTCAGGGTAACAGACAATATAACAAAGACAACAGGTAATACACAGTAACAGACAATGTAATCCGGTCGTGTTGGGAACTGTGACAGTATGTGTTGGCTGCAAAAGAAAAGGTAAAAGTCCATTCTGTTTTTAAAAAGAGACTGGTCTATGTGACTGAGTGGCATCGTGGTTAGCATGCTGGGGCCCTGGGTTCAGTTCAGGATATGGGGTACTGTCTGCATGGAGTTTGTTCTTTCTCCCTGTCTTTGTAGGGATTTCTTTCAGGCTCTCTGGCTTCCTCCCATATTCCAAAGATATATTAGCTTTTGGGATATTTGGCCCTAAAATGTGAGTGTGTGCTCTGCAGTGGACGGGGCAGCTCCAGGGTGTATGCTCCATCCCCCGGCTTGTGCCGTTGCCCCCCTGCAATACTGAGAGGTTAGAATTGTCGGATGAATCGAATAGCGTCCGAACTTCCTCATCCTTAAACTCTCAAAACCAGAAAAAGCCGATCATATCAAAGCCGATATTTGAATTCACACATAGCTCAAATTACAGAAACAATAACCCGCCCTCTTTCATCAACTTCCATTTTCGATTAGAATAAAACGCGAAATGAGATCCAAGGTACAGTATGTTTTTTAATCAATTGTAAACACGTCTGCAAAAATAATTTAATAATCAGTCTGAATTTGTCGATTCGGCACTGAAAACCGCTTTGCCAAAACATGATCTGCGTTAATTTCTCGGTTGTTTCCCTGTCGTAAACGCGACGCTCCCAAGAGAAGTACTGATTTTAATTGTTCTAGCAATGGAATCGCAGTTTTACTTGACTTTTTAAAAATAGATTTGATCAACTAAAGAATAATAGATTGCCTGATACGGGAAATTATTAGCTTATGCTACTCTGTGTACTTTTTTTTCGATTCTCGAAAGTCTCTCCAGATGATTATATTTTATTCAACAGGTTACAAAGACATTCCATTGTTTTGTGGAGTGTGCATGTCTGTCTTTCTCTGTGTAGGTTTAACTGCTGCGAGGTTAAACTGACCAGCCGGAGCTGCAGAGAGCTTCAAAATCTTTTGAAAAGCTACAGCTGACTGGAGGTGTTTGATTGCGACATGAAGTTATTAATCATCCTTGTACTGGTTCTTCAGGGTGTTAAAGGTAAGATACCTGTTAAACTCGGCGATACTACTACCATGTAAATAAGAAACGCAAAATGAATATTTGAACTGGAAGTTTAAAACCCGAGATTTATCCGCATATCTCTTCTTCTCTTTTCAGTATGGAAGAAACCCTTACTTGTTCCTTATTTATTCACATTAGCTGTTTATAATAAAGAGCCTTTTTACTTTAAAGAAGAACAAACTACATTTCAAAATAAAATGTAATCAAATTAACTTTTTTTTTCACTTTCGCACGACTGTAGACATCTATATGAAAAGAAAACGTAATTACGGCCCAGGCATAGTATGACTTTGAATTCACTTTAAAAACGTCAGCAGAAAAGGCTAGTTTCAATTTCTCGATTCAGTACTTGCAAAACCGGTTTGCTAAACAAATTCTCTGTTAATCTCTCGGTTGTTTCTGTATCGTAAACACGACGCTATAAAAAGAAGCACTGCATTATAATCACTCTCCGCAAGAGAAACGCTGTTTTACTTTACTTTTAAAAATACTTTTGATAAAACAATAATCAAATGGTAAATACCTGGAACTGTCAGTGCGGTTCGATATAAAATCTTCCGATTCTCGAAAATGTCTCTCCAAAGAAACACTAAAATTACAAACGTTTTTAAAATTGTTTTATTGAACCGTATTATATCTACCTCAGAACGCGGAGGCACTCGAAAATTATGCAGAATGGTAGCTTTATTGAACAGCAAAGCTTCCAAAGAACAGCTAACTAAACTAATCTAAACTACTTCTCCCCGAATCACGTAACGTAATCCCCCCACATCCCCTATTAAAAGAGAGGTACACCTAACGTTCAGTTCCACAGTAGACCACATCCCTTACCCCTAATCCACATAGTCCTTCACCCCCACAGAGGGGCCCAATGCTGATGTCTCGTACAGGGGACACTATACCTTTCACTCTCAGTCTCTGTGGTGGTGTCCATAGCTGGTGAAACAGGGACAGGAATAGAGGGTGTGTCCGAGTGGACAGAGTGGTCCAAACATCCTGAATCCTGAACACTAGACAACTGCAAGCTATCAGGCTCAACCGGCAACCATCCCTGCATCTGATCCACGTGGCGGCGATGAGTGTGGCCATCAGCCGTCACTGCCCTGTATGACAGTGGTCCTGTTGCCTCCACCTCTGTAGCAGGCACCCACTTTGGGCCCCCAGCATCACTACGGATTTGCACCTGATCCTGTAGTTCAAATCTACGAGCTACACCCCCACTCTTTGAATACTTGTGCGTATCGTTGTTCAATAGCCTGTGTTGAGGGCTGTATGATCTGATTTACTCCTATAACCTTGATGCCAGGTTGTTCAAAGCAGTCACGCCCCAGCAAACTAGTCCCTCTCCCTTTGATGATGAGCAGTGGTAATTTGCATTGCTTATTATGATATTATACATCGACCCTGATCTCTCCCACCACTGTCTGAGTTTGGTTTATTTCAGATGGTGTGTTGGGCCACAAATACTGATACGTTGCATCATTTAGAAGTGAGCAGGCTGATCCCAAATCCACTTCCATTTTATATTTCTTGTTCATAATCAAGACTTCTGCATTAAACGGCATTCTCCGTTGTTCTCTTTGATGTACGCTGTAAATTCTATACTCCTGACTGCGTTCTAGACACACCCAATCTGTCCCGTGAGCTCCTCATCCTCTGTTTCAGTCACTGAGAGCAGTTTACTGAGATCTGTCTCATCTGGCAATCTCCTCTTTTGTTGCGGTTGTGGCACACAGCTGTAGAAAAGTGACAATCATTCAGATCGTGTAAACCTCCACATTGAAAACAAGGTTTTTCTTCATGTTCTCTGCTGTCATACTGAGCCCTATTTTTTCTGGTTTCCTTAGGTCTGATGCACCTCCACTGGCATTAGAGTGCTTGTTTCAGGTTCTGGCCTCAACTGGCGAGAATTTATGGTGGCTTTTTCTGCAGCCAGTGCTTTTTCCTCAGCCATTTTAAAAGTTAGTGTTGGTTCTGCCAGTAGGTGGCGCTGCAGCGCTTCATCATGGATGCCACACACTAACGTGTTTTGCAGCATGTCCTCCAGCTGGTCTCTTAACTCACAATGCACTGACAATTTCCTCAGTGCCACTATGTAGCTTGCTGTGGCTTGGTCTGGCTGCTGTGTACGATGATGGAAATAAAATCACTGCACTATAGTGGACAGCTTTGGGTCATAATGTTTTCGCAAGCACTCAATTCATTCTGCATAAGCTACTTCAGTAGGTTTTCATGAGGCTACAAGAGATCTGAGCATTGAATATGTAGCTGCACTGCAAACGTTAAAAGAAGTGAACGTTTTTTTTCAGGTCTCACAAAGTAATTTGTGTAATAAGTCTACACTATACATGATGTTGCATCTATTCAGTAACTGACTTTCTTCTGTTGTCACCTTCACTTAATATACTCCCTACGGAAATCCAAGAGGGTCATTTATGTTAACACATATCCTTACAATACTCCAGTCTTTCTGCATATTCCAGCCACAAACTCTCTCTGTTTGCCATAAACTCTTCCATACGTCCAATAGTCGCCATTTTAGACAATGTTTATGCCGTCAGTATCTGTACAAGCGAAAAGGCAACCGACACTCCTGTGATAACCATCGTGGCATAAAGGATGGCATGATGGCTCATGTGCTGGATGATGGTGAGACCTCAGAAACCTTCCCTGTGACAAATGGAGTAAAGCAAGGGTGTGTACTTGCCCCGACACTGTTCAACATGATGTCCTCAGGCATGCTGTCTGATGTTTTTTGCAACAGTGAGGAAGGCATCCACATCAGATACAGGAAAGCAGTCACCAAGGTGAAGGAGACAGTCGTCAGGGACTTCCTATTTGTCGATGATTGTGCACTCAATGCTGCCAGCGAGCAGGACATGCAAGCCAGCATGGACAGTCACGGGATCGACACTCAATGTCGTAGATAGCTTCACCTATCTGGGCAGAAATCAGGCATGTGAACATAAATGAAGAATTGAACTGCAGAATTGCTAAGGACAGTAGTGGGTTTGGGAGGTTGCGAGTCAACGACTGGGAATGTAGACGTATTAGTCTCAAGCTGAAAGTCTACAAGGCTGTAGTACTTCCAACATTACTTTATGCATGCGAAACTGGACCATCTAGAGCAGACACGTCAGACAATTGAAACATGTCCACATGAGGTGCCTGCACAAACTGCTGAAAATCAGGCAGCATGGTAAGATTCCTAACAATGAGGTTCTCGCACCCTGCTGCAGAAGACTCAGGCCTGATGGTGTCCACATGAGGTGCCTGCACAAACTGCTGAAAATCAGGCAGCATGATAAGATCCCTGACAATGAGGTTCTCACCCGCACTCACACCCTGCTGCAGAAGACTCAGGCCTGATGGGCTGGTCATGTCCTACACGTGGATGATGAGTGTCTTCCCAAGAAGCTCTTGTTAGGTGAAGGGGCAGAGGGAAAGCACCCAGTTGGGAGACCCAAGATGCGATTTAGGGATAGTCTGAAACCTCCATGAAAAGCCTAAAAATCTCTGTCGACACTTAGGAAAGCTTTGTATCTGAACGCTCAGCATGGCGCAGTGAGGTCCTCAAAGGAACAGAGGCTGCAGAAGAACAAAGCATAGCCAAGGCCAAAAGCAAGTGTGAGACAAGAAAAGCCAGAGTGGTCAGCACCTCTACCACAGCAAACCCTGGTCTTAATGCCATATTTGTGGTAGAAACTTCCGTGCCCAGATTGGACTGGATTGGATTGGATTGAGATTGGACTCATCATCCACCTCAGGACACAATCAAATCAATCTTTTAGTTTATCGACATGTATGCACAATCGCCCTCATGTGCGGAGCGGTATTTCTTTCCCTGCTTGAGCTCGGTATATGTACATCTTCTGCCTACCTCTACCCTCCGCCTCATTTCCAGTATTATATCTAAGAACACGGAGGCACTCAAGGACTATGCAGAATGGTAGCTTTATTGAACAGCATAGCTTCCAAAGAACAGCTAACTAAACTAATCTAAACTACTTCTCCCGGAATCGCGTAAAATAAACCCCTCACATAACCAATGTTCATAGTACACCACACACAGGTTCTCAAGACATTCAAATGTTTTGTGGATTGTATAGCTGTATATCTGTCTATCTCTGTGTAGTTTTATCTGTTGTGTGGTGATTACATCGACCAGCCAGAAATGCAAATGGTTAAAAAATATTTTTGAAAAGCTGCACTTGATAGGAAGTGTTTGATTGCGACATGAAGTCCTTAATCTTCCTTGTACTGGTTCTTTAGGGTTTTAATGGTAATCTGTCTGTTCAACTCAGCGATACTGCTCTCAGGTAAATATCAGAATTGACTATCACATTTAAACACAATACTATCTTGTATAAACACAATTTTTTTTCTCCATGGCGCCAATAATCTGGTTTTAGCACTCTTCCAAAGGACCTACAAAAATCTGCTGTCCAGGAGCTGGGATACCCAGGACTAAACTGAAACTGGACAAGTCACCTGAGTTACACTCTATTATTAATTTCCACCTCAGTGAAGATGTTGATTTTCGTCTTTTCCTTTTACAAGGGACCCCACGTGTTCACGTGCTGACGCCAGCAATCACTGCGCTGTGTGGGAGTGATGTTCGAATCGACTGCCAGTTCCACACTTCAGGGATGAGGAAATGTTTCGATGTCGAGTGGCTTCAGAAAAGACAGGGACGTACAAACAGCATTCACCTGTTCCACCAGAGCCCAGAGCTGTCACGCTTTCAGGACCACAGTGTCACTGGGAGGAGCACGATGTTCCCCAGTGCCGTTACCAATGGAAATGCGTCCCTGCTGATCTCCAATGTGGAAATGACTGATGAGGGCGAGTACATCTGTTTCATTGTGATGGATGGTGTTGGCTACAGAGACACCGCAGTGTTGACAGTAGTGGGTAGGTACAGCTCCACTGTATTCCAGTTAAAGTCTGTTGCATCGTGTAAATTAAGACTTAGCTCCAATTACTGGAAATGCATTGCAACCGATTCCGTCATTTAGCTAAAATGTATGGGCTCAATTACACCACTGGCTTGATTACAGATTTATTTTATTTTTGATCAAAATAAATATAAATGAAAAAAGGTAGAGTACCTGTGAGAAATTATTTTTGGCCAGTGATCCTTTGGAGTACCACCTTAAGAATAAAGTCATCCACTACTAGTAAGCATGGAACAGCTCTTTCACAATGTCTCAAAATGAATGCATACTGTTTATTTTATTTATGGAAAGTTGTCTTCTCCTTAAGTTTATTGTTATTGCTCCTTGAAATTGAGCAGTTGGAGTGGTCAGCAGTGCTGTGCTTTGGGAAGGGCAGGGCTGTTCAAGGTCTGACACACAGACTCTCTCACTCTCTGCAGCCTCCTATGAGCAGCCAGAGCTGCAGCAGGTCCTGGAGCAGGAGGCTGTGTCTCTGAGCTGTGTGTCTCGGAAGGGGTTTCCTGCAGCTCTGGTGAGCTGGATTGACGACAGGGAGAAAAGTTACAGTCAGGAGGCCATCACAGAGCTCACACTGACCCCAGAGGGGCTGTACGATGTGCACAGTCGCCTCAAGAGAGTTTTCACTTCCCAGCGCAGGGTCTGCTGCATCATCACCAACAGCCCCCTGCAGGAGAGCAAGAGGAGCTGCGTTCAGCTCGGAGCAGGTAAATCACTAGAACATCAGCAGCCACTTCTCTGAGAAAATAATTCTCATGAGGAGTGGTGTCTAAAAATTCTGTCAAACAATTGTTGACCATTGTCAGAACTCTGTAGAGCTAACCCGAACCCTGACCTAGGTCAAGCCACAGAAGTAAGCAAGATAATGTTAGAACAACTAAAATCTTGTCAGATATTGTTTGTTCCAAATATTTCAACATTTGGGTTTCTGTTGCAACCATGCTTGTGTTCCCATAAAATTCCATCGTATTTTGTAAGGATGGATATTCTATTTTAATTCCCTGTACTACAATATAACCAACCTATTCACAAAAGATGAATTCTCCTCTACACAAGTGTGTGGTTGACGTGGGCAGATTTTAAAATGAACTACTGATATGCCAATATTTAAAATCTAACCAGAATCTTGGTTCTTTTCCGCTAAATGTCTGCTTAGTTAATAATTTCTCTGGTTCCTGCTGTTCTGCTGTTCTAAGGAACAAAAGAACACTCACAAACCTGTTTAAATGATCACTTATGTCTCTTTCAGAGCAACAAGAAGATGGCAGAACACGAGGCATTTACACTCTGATGGTGTCTGTGATGTTTGTAATAGCCCTGCCTATTTTATTATATTATTTTTATTTCCGAAAAAGAACACCACAGTCACCTGGTAAGAAGAATTAACTGTCCAATACAAATATTTAAAGAGAAACATCACATCTGTTATGGTTAAGCTGACCTGACTTATTGAATTTAAGGTGTGTGATTTTTAAATTGCTGTTGATTTATGCATCGTATTTCATAAACTCTTACTTCTTAGCTGCATTAACATGCTGTAGCTTGATCTAGTCAGAGCTGAACAAGTAAGCAGACGGGAGACCACTGAGGAAAACCTGGTTTCTACTCACAGTGGTGATGCTGGACCAGTAGGGGGCACTCTTCCCCAAACCAGTGCCCCAGTATAGTGACAGGGTGCACTTCTCTGTAAGAGATGCTGTTCTTTAGACATTAACCAAATAATCATGACTTCTGTTGATCATAAGCTAATTACTGTTAAAGCTGATCAATGAGCAGGACATTTTGAGAAGTGTGTATCATGCACTGCAGTGATTGCAGTTTTGACTAATATGTAAAGCAGTCATGCTACGTATATGTCAGGGAACTGGCAGGTAGTTTTATGAGGATCCTATGTGTAGCTGTGAATTCTGTGGGATGCAGAGGCAAACAATGCAAAATCATAATCCAGAAACAAGGTCGATAGGAGAAGCTATAGATCAGATAAGATAGACCCGAGACAAACCAAGACCATCCAAAAGGCTGTGGTTGGATAATTGGTTCAGGAGTGAGAAGCTGTGGAATCTGGTGCCTGTGAGAATGGGATGGGTTCGGTTAGGAATGAGATCATGAAACAGTGGGTTTGGGAATATAACGGCTTTTGCGAGGTACAGTGCGGGACGTGACAATATAGGTTTGAAATAATCATGTTGAAAAACTTTTGCATGGCTGAGGACCTGATACTTTCATGTGGCGGAGTTATCTGCTGTTTCAGCCATCAAAAAGGACAAAAATCAATTGTGTCCTTTTGAAGCCCAGTATAAATATTTTAGATGCACTAAACCAAGATTGCTGCCTTCAAATAATCAAACATTAACTTGAAACTGCAGACTTCTGTCAGTTACAATTAGGTGTACCTGCAACTAGACCTCACAGTAAGGCTTATAAGCTTTAAGGTTGCTAACCGCTTGTTATAGAATTTCTCTGAATATTACGTGTCTTTTTCTCAGGTGCTGCAGAGAAAATCCGCAAGCGAATCAGTAGTTTTTCACAGCCAGTTACTATTCGGATGCTTTCTCTGAGACATCAAGGACTGTCCTCCCTGCTGAACTCTTGCCTGTATGTTTATAAAGATAAAGAGCCATACCAGAATGTAACAAACTCTTGTGATCCAGCACCTTTTAGTACTCAGGCTCTGGAAAAACGGCTCACTGAGAGCATCACTTTGAAGAAAGAAGAGCTATTTGAAGTAGTGGATGAAGATGAAAAATTCTGGACCTCTAAAGATTCAAGGGAGGTGTATTTATCCAGATGGAGCGATGAGAGAAGTAAAGACTTCATCAATGTATATGTACACAGGTATGAAAACAGATTTATCTGCATTGCTCAGGTTTCAGTTTTATTTCATGATACATAAAGATGCCTGGAGGTGAACTGAAGTAGGTTTGTAGTCCACAGAATCTTCCAGAAAGAGATGACAAGGGAGGCATTTTTCACTGAAGACTTTAGAACAGTCTCTGAATTTTGCCTCCTGTAAAACCTCAGTGTTAATCATGTAGCAGGAGGGATTGCCTGTAGCACAGAACACTAATAAAACACCTCATGATTTTGTGCATGCCCCTGAAAAGAGAAATGTCAAAATAATTGGTACAATGGAATGTTTTAGTGACTCTCTTACCACTTCACTGTAAAACTCAAAAGGAAATAAGACTTGCTGTTAAAGATTCTTCAGAAATTCAATATTGATTGCACTGAAGCAGTGAAGGATACACTCAGGAAGCAGAACTATTCCACAATTTCATGTCAAATACATTTCATCCCTACTCTGAGACTGTCTGCACTTTTTTCTCCAAAAACCTATTTCATCCACTGTGCACCATGTACACTATGTACATTAATTTGTGTACTGTTTTTCCACAGGGGTAACATGAAACTAAGTGATGTTTTCCAGGAAGAAATTAAGCAACTTTTTGAAGACTTGAAGCTACTGACAGGTACTTTATTGCTTATAATCCACACATGACCCTTCTGTTTGATTGGTGTACTTTCTCATTGCGCTTGTCAGTAGTGTATAGGATAATTATAGATTTTAGTGGAATAATTCTGGAATTTTTAATTCACTTAATGAAAACATAATAACTTGGAGTGACATTCAATTTCTACAATCTTGAAGACGAAACCAATAGTTCTTTGTCCTGGTGCTGGTAATATACTGTATATGTGCTCATCATTACCTTTCATGGAATATGGCTGTTAATATGCATTTCAGTGTGGCACGTCCCCTTTAAGTAGTGTGGCTGTGCAGGAATTGCTCATGAAGCCTTAATTACAGGGAGATACAGAACCATGGATTTGGACAATTTGACACCGATGTAATAACTTTCCCAACTCTAGATCCAACTCTGGTCCGTGACCTACTGACTTTCAATTTCTCTTTTAATACACAGCGCTTGTCTCACCACAATAAAACCTGGAACCTATTTATTAAGGACCTTGATGACAATTAGTATTAAATTCCTCTGATAACCTCATGAGGAGGCCTTGATATTCCTCTCTTGAGTCTCCCACAGTGTCCCTCTAGTGCCAGAATCCAATACCTGATCCTACCATTCCAGTTGCTTTGTTACATTATAAAATCCACAGTACAAAACTTAATGTATACTGGAGTGCATCCCGAGCAGCAAATGTACACTAGCAGATATACTTACTTATTACCTGGTAAAGGAAGAATAAGTAAGGGCTAGCAATCACAGGCCATTTCTGAAAGGAAGAAATTGGCCTGTTAGTTTCAACTGTAAGTGGTGTTCAGTCTTTACAGAATTATTTTGTCTCTGTTTCTGAGCAGGGTCGTACCCAATTACTGTGCTGACCATGAAGAACAGAGGAGTGGAAAAGGGGTTGAAGCCTTTTTTTCTCAATCTGGGATGCAGACACGTAGTTTCAGTGCACAACTACATCATCGATGACCACAGTAGAAGCCCAGAAAGAGATTATGACATACTGGATTTCCTGAACATCTGTCTTGATGAAGCAGAATCACTGAGATCAACACGTGAACTTGACCCATCCCCTTCCAGCTCTGCATCTTCATTAACTCCATTGATAA